AAAAGCGTCGCTATGGGGGAGGAGTGGTAGCAGGAGATTTAGTAACCAATTCAAAACAGGGGGTTGTAAAGATAAAAATCTAACACTGAATCCCGGGAGGACCCTTCTCGAGGTCAAGAAGTTGAATGTTCGGGAATGAGACCATTAAAAGCACCTTTATACTTTCCGTTGTAAGGTGTTTGCGTACTTTCGACTTAAATACCAGTAACTTAGGCGATGACCTTATTTCTTGCGGAATATTATTCCAAAGGAAGGCACACTTGGAAGCAAAATAGGGAGCGATTACATGTAGGGCAAAGAGGCGGCGGAATCGCCATGAATGATTTGCGTGTGATATAGAATCGAACTCTCGGTGTGAGAGTGTCAATAAGCGGAAGACTGGAGCTAGAATTAATGCGAGAAAGGATACTCCCATCGGCGGGATGGCCCACTGACGGTCACACACGTTCTCGTACTGTGAGCGTCAGCGTCACTAGTCGCACTAAATTTCCACCTTTTTCGACGAGTCATTCTCAAAAATTGCTACACATTTTACTGTGGAAAGAGTTTTATGGCTTCTTATCTTCATATTTAGCTAAATTCTTCTGTCTTTTATGACAATAATCGGGTATCCAAATGACACTCCCTACTGCCATAGACACAAATTAACCACTATTTTTAAGGGCGCTGGAAATTTTATGCTACTTAGTCGGTATTTTTTGTACATTGCGGATTTCTTCGAGCGGCAGAGAGGGAGTGCATTCGGAAGCTAGCGTCCTGGTGCGACTGAATTATCTTAGGATTGGGTTGCATGCAAGTCAAGATGACAACTCTGCTCAAGCAATCTGTCCTAACGGGAAAAGCGTTTTAGGATGCTAGTTAACATTTCATAAGATTCGTCACTTACCGTATCTGGTTACGCGTTCCGTTCTGGATACAAACAAGGGTTGCGTGCCCACATGTGACTTGCATCGAGTGTCCATGGGGTTATCTCGACCTGTCGGTCTTGATTTCGGCTTCAGTAATAATTTAGGGCGCTTCAGCCGTTCGGCTTGGATGACAAACTAACTAAGAGAGTTCCTGGGGTGGGACTTTATGGACGAAAGCAAATTCGTTAATTCCGTCTGGTAGACACCACTTCTCTAATACATCATTTTTCACGAACGATCACTTTCATATCCACACAGTTCAGTATAATTCGGTATCCGTGGTACCTGTGCACGAGATGAAACCATTGATGCAGGTTACCTTAGAATAAGTGGTAATTGCATTTTGTGATTAATTTAGCTTGTTTGCATTACTTGAGACAGTGTTTAAGGATAGGATATAGCACAAGCTGATTATTTTGAACGATTATATGTCTAGCAGTTTAAAAGGATAAATACCCGCGCAACTGCCCTAGGATGAAAAAATCTCATTCTGTCGGGTCTGAATCCATTGCGAAAGAAAAGACAGATATCAGTCCATGTTTTTAAATAGACACATTGGGTATGCTTGTGACGAGGCACCAGACTAATTCACCTTTGACAATCTCATCCCGTTCTTTTTTACCGTATTGCTTGATTTGACGTGACGGACACAACGCTGCTGGATAGTATCCTTTCTGTTGGCGTGCTCAGCCGTCAGGTCATTTTACGTTTTGAATATCAGTTTTACTTACCAACCGGCTTTACTTACTGCCTTTCTTACGTGGCTCTCGTGAGGTATCATCCTCTAGTCCGTCAGTACGTGGGCGCGTGGCCCATGTCGAAAATGTTAAGTGGGAAATCAACGAAGAAGCAGGGATGAAGAGTTTTTGGCAAAATCCGACGAATCGCACGACCACCTCTCTTTTGTAAATGGGCAGATAAAGACCGACGTGCTTATTAATAATATTTCCAAACTTCAACACTAAAACAAGAAAAACAGAAACCCAAACAATTTTGAGAAGTTACAAATCGTCACCGCGTATTTTAATGGAGAAGATGGATTCCGACATTGCCTTAAGGATTCCCCAGACCTCTGCATCACCACTGATGGACAAGGGAAGAATATTACAGTTTCACCTAAGTAACGTCTTCCCTTTTGGTGAGAAGGATCAATGCAGGGCAGAAATTTCCAGAGGAGTAATCAGGACTACTGCCATAAGGATAGTGTTCTAAGGACGATTAGGTATAGGGAATACAATGGCCACCACCCCTGCTTTAGCGATCTTGGTGTTAGAAGTCAAAATTTCCTAAAGTAAAGAATTGGTCAGTAGTCAGAGCTTCGTCCTGTAGCTGGGTATGCATATCGAATCGTATTTCAGTTCATAATCAAGGGCCGTAGGCTGAGCCATATTTTCAAAAACATACCTATCATTCAGTCGGATAATAATTCAACTATTCCGAAAAGGGTGGCTGCCATTCAAGGAGTTTTATAGAATGTTGGTGAACAAATAATCCGTAATAGGGTATATTTTCTAGAATAATTATCCAAAATTCCAGTGTTGTTGCTATGCCGACATTTACTGCAAAAATCATGTAAATAATATCGGCGTGACTGCAGCATTAAATCTAATGACGCAGTAGGACTATAGTTTTGTTAATAAGGAGAAGTGTATAAAAGATTGCCATGGAAGGCAGCAAGGCTTGGGAGTACCAAAGAATGATGGGGTTTGGAAGATAGTTATAGTGACTAAGCGGATGAAGTTCAGAACAGAACAGAGATTAGAGAGATTGAAGAGGGTGTTGGAAAAATGAAGTGGCCAGGAGGATTTGGCAGATTGCTGCAGTCCCTTTGGTCGTAGAAAACAACTAACAGTAAGTGGCATCCAAGTGACTCAATAAAGTCAGCGATTCAACTCAAAAGAGGATGATATTATGATTGACAGGGTAGGCTAAAAGACAAATGTCATAGAGAATTGGCATATATTTAGTTTTAATGGCCTTCTTAAATAATAAACTGTACGCATTGGCGCGTTGTACTTTTTCTGCAGTAATCATGAATACCGCTTCAACATTAAAGGGCCGCGCCCCACCTAGCCCCTTTCTATCCCCCTCTGACGAGGGGTTTATGTGATAGCAGGGTCTCTGTCGAAAGTCGCGTTCAAATTTTTAAAGACAATACGTATTGTCCTCATATAGCGTATACGGGACTACTTAAAAAATACTCAAAAATTATTTTCTTTGTGAAAATCAATGTTTTGCACTGCTGATAGGGTGTTCAAGGACTCGCGTCTATTTGCCCACGAGAAACTGTCTTGAACAGACCTGATTACCTATGCATTTTGACATGACTATTACATTATTCTCAATTGCCATCTACCTCCCGTATTGAGGCCGGTGTTTTGAACCCGGCCTTCAGATCGAAAAATACATGCGAAATTTTGGATGCAAGCAGCAGGGAAATCGCTACCGATGACCATCCCCATATGCTGCGGATGGCAGTAGAATATCAGGAAACATGTACCTTTCATGCAACGATTTCCACTGAGGAAAAAACAACGCTGGATTCGTAAACATGAGAGGTTGCTAGGTCGACAAGGCGCCATTGTGTGCATTTGTGCGTATGTAATGCGGAACGGCAATTCAAAACAAATAGCTGTTCATGTGACACGTAACTTCATGTACCTGGTGTGTCCAACATAAAAATATACTCTCATCAGTCGCCTCCAGTCACGGTGCTTGGTCTCGCGAGTGACCATTGATAGGACTATAAAGGCGCGTACAAATGAAGGCCGTCCTTACTGTGCCTGGCGTCGGAATCACGGCAGGGCAATCTGGAGTAGAAAAGGAACAGATTGGCAACGCTCTGCTGTCCAAGCGTCGAAAGGAAGGAGTCTTATCCATGGTAATGACAGGCTCACTAGACAGTGGTTCTTAGAGGTGGAAAATCACTGGAAAGGATGATAAGGGGCCTTTCTAGATGGTGGAGTCTACTCTTAGGCCGAACACGTGCCAACCCAAATTGCCTCTCCATGACCTACAAAATAAAGCAGACCGCCGGGAGTATAGCACGTGCACGGAACGCTGAGTAGGGGCCCTCTCCGATACTTAGTCCTGAGCGTCTCCCTGCCGGTAGCAACTATTGTTTGCTCTCAGGGAGCCACACGCCTCTGGTATGAGACACATTCTTGGTGACAGTTAAATCGTTCTGACCGTAGTTGATGCCTGTGTCAAACTCAGACCAAAGCAGTTAAGCGCACTGCTGGCAGTTTGATAATCGGAACCATGCCTCACACTCCGACACTACCTCACTCGACCTATACGACAACAGGACGTTAATTTTACAGGCGGACATCAGCTCGCCCACCGCCGAGATGTCTGCTGCTCAGAAAGGATGTCACGAATGGAGCGTTCGTTGTAGAGGCTGCGAGGCATGAACCCACACGAGCTCTTCCGGGCTGACATGCACAGCGCTCCACTTTCCGGCCTACCACCCGATGTATGTTAATCAACCCTAGGGTTAGTTTCCTGCCTAGAAAGCACAGCCTTTCAAACAAAACTTGCTCGGACGTCTTAGTAGCCTCCCGAAGTTATTGTACATTTAGAACCGTCCTCCACTTAGGACGGTTTACTACCCACTAACGCTTTCACAGTAACCTTGACGATTGTCCGATGGAGATGAACTGAACAGCGGGACCTCTGAAGCGTGATCATGAAGTAAGCAAAGTGCGACACGCAATGCTCTCTGACGAGGGGTCTACACACTTATACGTCAACCAGGATTCAAACAAATGGGCGCCATTCGAGGACCGCCGTTAGACGCGCTGATCTTTGTAACTTGGGGAACCGATACGGCTCACCTGAAGACTACGGCGTGTTACTTTCCCTTCCGACTGTAGCTGAGACAAGCAGCCCTATTTAAATTTAATTTGAGAGCCATATCACAGAAAAGGGGAGAGTACAACAAAGAAAGTCAACAGCCGGGTGGTGGGGAAGGGGGTGTCACAAGCACGAGTTGGGTGAGAAAGAAGTGGGGAGCAAGAAAAAAAAGGTAGAAAAACCGAGCCGTTGCAGACGGCAGGAATGCAGGAGCGGAGAAAGCGAGTCGACAGGAAGTTATTCCTCCTCCTCCTCCTCCTCTTCTTCTTCTTCGTGCAACAGGATTCCCAACTTTATGGAGTCGGGTACACGATTGACTAAGAGAGTGCCGTCGTAATTGACCGAGGCAAACACCCAAGTGTCCACTGGGCTCCAGTCGACAGCATACACACACTCCTCGTGTTGGTCCACCTTGGCCAGCAGACCGTCATGCAGCCTGCCATATTAATAAGAATAATAATACCGCCATTATTATAATACTGTATAGTTTTGACGTGTATAGTTATAGCATTGTCGTATAATAATGTATTGATTTGACGTGTTGCTGAAATAGCGTGTAGAGAGAAATGAGAGAACTGATTGATTAGTCCAACCGTACGGTAGTTTGTCCATCTCGTGAAATATTAGCCGAAGTTTTGAAATGCGTTTTCCACTAGAAAGGATCACCTAGATGATCTTCCAATATTCGTCATCTTGTAGCATAATTTCGAAACACTTCAGTCATGCCAGAATGCCAGCTTTTCAATCCGCCTCTTTCAGGCCGTCCGCACAAACAGCATCCGATAAGGAATAACTACTTATGTAGCATGAATTTTTCCTATTGCTTTTCGATGCTCTTATAAATTCAAGTGTATTTTATAGAAAACAGTGCGTAACGGTATTGCAGCGGATTGCGTCTTCTCCAAATAGTATACGTGAGTAATGGATAGGTTCGGCTTATGAAAGTGTATAATTGGACCACGGAATGTCCATCCACGCGAGATTCTATCTGCCTATTCATCAATGCTTCTTACGGTCCACTTCTATTGCAAAATTTTATAAGCCCTATACGACGTCTTCTTACAAACCTGGAGCGCTGTGTGATTTCCCCATACACGGAAAGTGCGCAGCATGTAGTTTGGAAACCAAAAGCGCAACATGGAATTGCAGTCCGGATTCAAAATTACAGGGAAATCAAAAAGGCTTTTATGACTGAAAGATGTCCCTGCTTGGAGTATAGAATCCGAAGATGACGTAATTTGCTATCGCATTAGCACAAGATGGGATAGTAAGTGCATTTTTTCCATAAAATACATTAAATTTTATACTGGCGGCGAAAATCGGTGAGCAAAAACCCATGCCACGTGAGTGATAAGTTTTACTGAGCGCAGTCTTTGCAGACGGTCGAAACGCTGCCCATTCAAAGCCGGCATCGTGGCGTGACTAAAATATCTAGGGACTATGCAGCAAAATAGCCAATATTAGAATACCACGTTAGAAATCCTATCCAGTCAAAAGCAGATCTTTCATGAGATAGGCCAGCTACCGTGCTTCGACGTATTTAAAAGTTAAAAAACACGACTGCGAGTGTAAGCAGAGGAAATTGGCCGGACTAGGGCAAAAATAAACGGGCAAAACTGACTGCGGCCAAGCAGGAGCGGATGACTTCCTCCCACCCCAAAACAGGAGAGGACAGCGAGTCTCGCAGACAGCAAATTGTACATCAAAACAAGCCGGGCTTCAAAGACGACTAGTCTAACTCCTACTTGTGGCGCGGTTCCACAAGTAGGCCTTTCAGTGAACAGGTCCCTTTGTGATATAACGCCTCAGAATCACCTCTTGACTGCAATCACTGTAAATTCTACTGAATCCGGTTCAGTAGCGATAAGCATCGAATCGATGAGATAAAAAATGCATTTTCGGTGGGTCGGATGAATCAAAACGAGCTGCGCGCCACGTCACAAGGGAAATAATTAGAAAAACTGATCGATATTACCCGCAACTACTCGTCAGGGGGCAATGGAAACTTGTACGTCTCAATTGCGGCAGTTGGCGCGCTTGTGAATGTTTGCAAGTCTACCAGGAAAGAGGTCACTGATAGCTGATTTTTGGAATTTTTCAAATCAGGGCAGTTAGAGGGCAAATCCCAAAATCAGAAAATCGACCACAAACGCCTATGCATCTACTGACCAGTAGGAAGTCTTGATTATGGAAGATTCGTTAGTTTAGGCTTTAGCAAGTAATAATTCAGTATTTCGGCGAAGCATAGAAACAAGACACAGGGCTTACTGAGCTGAACAGTTTGTCGCCCGCAAATTTCAGTCAGCATAACTTACTTATCGGAGACGGTAGAGCTGTAGGTCGTAGCCGAGGCCCCTTCAGAGTCGTCTATGTTGGCCGCTAACCCAGAGCAGGAGGGGTTAGCGATCCGGTTGGTCGACAACGGAGGAAACTGTTTGACGTCACTGGAGTAGCTGGGCAAGCCATAGAGACAGACGTAGGAGTCGCTACCCGCAGACACTAACAACTGGTCGCGAGTGGGATGATAACGGACTGACCAGACCTAAGTATCGAACACAGAACAACAGTAGACGCCCGGGAATGGAAGACATGCCTACGGCTCGTCAGCGAACTAAAATGGCGGTCGGGTAGATAAGGCGAGCATTGGGGGCAATAAAAGCAAAGATGGTGAGCAGGAGGGAAAAAACAGCTCCTACCTAAGAGAAGGGAAGCGCCAGTAGGTCTATTTTGTATGGTGACCTGGCAACAGTCTTGTGCGCACGTCGCATGTCCAAAGAGGCCTGTAAACCCGTGCTTTCACAAACGAGGCTAGATGTGAGCGAGTGGGCAAGCCTGAGACTTCACGTGGCCAAGCCAGCTTTGTGTGAACGCTAACAGTCGGTTAGCTCAACTAGTCGACCATTGCTCAATTGGGGCGAGTCGACCACAGAGTAGGCCCCGTCCCAGTCGTCCAAGGGTGGTGAAAAAAACAAATTACGAGTGGGGCACGTTCACCCGCAAAAGGTGATGCGACCCATGCGGAACAAGATGTCAAAGTGTTGTTGTCAATAAAAGTGCTACTGCAAGCTTAGAGTAGTAAAGTTATAGTTGTTTAAAATAGTATGGCCGCAGCTATGAATGCCAGGGGATAGATGCAAACATGGACGATAGAAGTTTTCGCTTTTGTTAGTAGCCAAATGACAGTCTCACTGGCATAGACGACAAAATCTTTGCGAGTAGTAGATCGCGAAAAAAAACGTTGACCTCTACCAGAACAAGCCAGCAATAGCTGGGATGAGAAATAGGGATAAAGGATTTCTGGGCACGCCGAACACGAGGGGGGAATAATCACTTAGTGCTGGGGTCAACGAGCAAGGGAAGGATGGCAGCTGGATGCGCGTGAGTTTTTCAACTGTAACGTGACGTGGTAGAATGCGGATGTGGATGCTTGGAGGGACTGAACAGACGCCCTCCGCGAGCATAAGACGGGGTATGCATATTATTCTGCAGGTCTGATGATGGACAGTCGATAACGTGTGCTTGTCAACTTTGACCTCCTCGGGGCTTATATGGACCTCATTTAAAGACAGCGCGTGCAGTTCAGGCACTCGGTAAGAGATCTTTCGAATCCTCACGCCGGGTATATTGTCATCGGCCACCGCAACAGACGCGTGTTTGCCTTGTGGTGCCTTTAAATACAGACAGCTCTGCGTAGATTACTTCCCGGCAGAGTACGAGTTTAGTTGAATCCCTAAGACAACGGAGAATTTAGCAGGAGCTGAGAGGATTCTCAATTAACCTGAAATTTTGTTCTAAGCTTCTCGGTAGTACTGGCCAATTTAAGCAATACTTTTAGTGACAGAATTTTAAGGGGACCTGACAGTATTTCACCAAATCAGGGCACACAGTTCAAGCAAAATAGGAGAGGTCAATTAGCGCAAAAACTTTGGGAAAAATGTCGACTTTACTGAGGCACGACGTGTAGGTACCGTCAGACTCCTTCGGATCGACGATGGTCGAAAGGGTCCAATTTTTGCTCGCCTTCTAAATGCCCCGAGCATTACGGTCAATACCGACCGAGTCGAGCACTCGTGACTCAATCTCGGGTTGCGCCACCCACCCCTATCGATTTAGCACTTTCATACTCATCGTTATTAAGTGGATTGGCCGGGCTGATGGGGGGACAGTCTGCAGAGGCCGACCTGGTACGAAACTCTGTTGGTGTCGGCCATGCTGGGCTAGTACACGAACACAAGCTGGCTGTGCGACGAGGCGACGAATTATCGCAAGTGGCTGCCAACATCTAGGAAATGGGTCATAAGTTTAACTTCGCAGCCATCAAGATAATCGCCTACGCCGGAAACCAAACAGGCCGAGAATTGATTGAAGCCCAGGCCTCAGATGAGAACTCAGTCGACCGGCTTATCGGCCTGGCGCCGGCGTACAGAGATCTGCGCGGTCACCTCCTGCCTTGCGCCATTGGTCGATGATCGTCTGTCCCATAATCATCGCTCGTTACTTTTGAACGGGGAGACACGATTGCTGGGACAAGAGCTTTATTAGCCTGACGTTTCGGATTCCTGCTCGAACCCATCATCAGAGACAACAGCAGATACGGGTGATTCATGCACAAGGGGCTGCAGTATTTATAGGATGCAGTCGCCATGCTACCTCATACCTCTGAGTGCATGAATTATCCGTATCTGCTGTTGTCCCTGATGATGAGTTCGAGAAGGAATCCGAAAAGTCAAGCTAATAAGGCTCTTGTCCCAGCGATCGTGTCTCCTTCTTCAAGACTATTTCCTGGGACTCGTCTCTTCGCTTCTATTTGCTCGTTACTTTGTTGCCACTATCTTTGACGACGGACTGCTGGGCGAATGAAAAGTTCAGAACAATAAATAGACTGCTCCGGTGCTCGACCAGTCTGCTGGATGGAAATAAACTCCAGTTGAATCCCACCTGGTCGCGCCTATTACTTGGGCGTAGTTGTTCCGTGGAGCCAGACATGATGATCGAGTGTCAGGTTGAGTCAATTTGGACTGATTATCTCATGTAGCCAGACATTTGCCGCGATTATCAATTTATAAAAGTTGTCGTCCGTAGTTTCGAAAACAACACCTATTAATCTAAAATGTGCTGAACTATATATGAGCATAGACCTCCGACTTTTATTAATACCGAATGTTGAGTCCGGCTGGTCAGCGCTTGGAATTCTCCACACCCTCCTCGCAAGTGCTTCCACATTTGGCTCTTGTTCACATTCCCCTTCCCCTTTTTGTAACCCTCTTTCGAGCATGATCGGCGTTCTTTCAATTAACTAGTTTTTGTATTCTGACCTTGAGCTGGGAATTCGATTTGCTCGAACAGTAACAAAGGATTCTTTGTCTAGGGTATCCACTGTTGAGGTTTGTACGTTTTTTATTACTACATTATTCTATGAGTAGTACCGTATATACACCGAAGTTTATTTTGGCTTATACGCGTGACTCAATTTACCAAGAATTCTACACTGAGTCACACGACAAAGCGCCTCTTTGCTGTTCTCCTGTAGCCACTAAGTCCACTCACCCAATGGGAATGTGAGGACAGAGTGATCAGAGGCTGGGGTCCCCGGGGGTTGCCCGAACCGAAGTTACGGAACGAGAAGGGCTCTCGCAACGGGCCAGGGGTGACAGTTCGCCGGGAGTTCAGATCAGAGGCCTTGGAAGAGGAGATTTGCCGAAGATCCCACACCTTAACGCAGCCATCATCACCGGCCGTGGCTAACACGTGATCACGATTGGGGTTGAAGTCAAGGTCACGGACACAGGGCCAGTGAATATCGTCAAGCCAGAAGCACGATCTGAGAGGTAGGGCAACATATGTGGATATTTACCAAAAAAACGGTTTTTGATTTATAACCGCAAACAGTCATTAATCTAGACTGAAAATACGAGTGTTTCACAAATGGGGCCTCACACTGAATTGGTAAGACCAAATGCTGTAAATTCTGCGCTGAACACTGCTCTCCCGGGGTTGTAGCATAATGGCCACCAATTAAAAACCGATATGGTGGGCAAACCGGTCGCGGGTAAAACGGAGAGAGGGGCGTCTTCGCAGGGCATTTTTAAAGGCTTTTAATTAAAATCAAAGAGATTTGGCACTGCGGGCACCAAAATTCAGGGAAAGGAATGGATATCCGTCGATATTAATCCACGAATTATGCATAAAATGGCAAATTAGCGAGCGTCAAATCATGTACCCAATGTAGGTGACGTCCCAAGAATAAAGCTAGGCTGGGTAAGTGGCGAGGTAAGCTACATTACCTTGAGATAAATTATTCAAAAAAACTTCAGTGCAAAATATCCTGTCCACCGCAAGAAGTGAGCGATGTTATCTACATGTATGATGAGTTTTGCTTGACTAGAATAAATGCTACGTCGGCTGCTGTCGTGGACAGAAAATTGCTTTCCTTGGTGTCGCCTGCCCGCGAAAAGTCCAACGAGGACGTGCGGAGCAAAGTTAGCTCAAAATGTAAAAGACGGCATCGACATACGACGTCTTTACAGATAATCAATCTAACGTATTGGTGGTTTTCGACTTGGTACGATTGTGATGATGCCTGATCTGACCGGTCCCGATGATGCCGCGAACTGTACCTCTCCGCACGTGACGATCTGCGACAGCGAATCTAAACAGCTCGACCTATTCCTCCACCAGCAAAAGGCCGAATAGAGGGCCTCCTCTTACGAGTGGACGACGGTGCTGGATCAAAGGCGGCAACACTGCGCCTATGAAGTGTACGAGGAAGAACGTATTTCAACCACCTCATTCGTCTTAATCGGATGGTCCAAAATATGTCCCCGATGATGTGACAGCGAATGTGGACTGTCTCATTCAGTCAGCGTGTTTCACTCGAGGAGATTGTTCTCAGACAGCAGTGGTAAGACACTTCCAGGTTTCGCCGACTTGTCACACACACCTTCACTGGCCGAACGGATGCCCGGTATATGGAGCGTGGGACGTTCTGTCCGCTGATATTATTCTCTCTTCAAGTGTGGATTCATTTGGGGCCGAAGTCGGCACTTATCTTTTTTCTTACTTACCACCCACACACACCCCCATACCCTTGACGCAAGATAATTGAGAGTACATATTAACACTCTACTTGCATTAATTAAGCACTATTTGATGTTTATATTTTTACGTCTGTAGAAGGCTACCTGTCTGTAGCAGACGATAGTGTGAACAATTGACTTTCCAATGTTTTTTATGTGTCGGTGCTCTTTCCTTCGACACCTTTTATAATCAGCAGGGAGGTCAAACAGGCTCGCCTGCCTTCCCCTCAACAAAAATGGACCAAACTGGAAGCAAGTCGGATGGTCCTCAGCCAGCGGTGATTAAATACCTCCAAATTTCACTGATCTTTCACACGCACAGGCCAGCATCATAGAAGGACTGGCCGAACGAATGTCCAGCACGCGTGGAGCTTGAACCGATGATTATCCACGCCCGGAGGAAGCACATTTAAGTGGTCGCCGACAACTTATTGTTCAGATCAGAGAGGTACGTAACTCCGCAGCTAACCGTCGTCGAGGGCCATTTCACTATCCACCATTATTAGGTGGGTCGAGTATCCATGGTCGTAGGTGATGTCTGGTCGGGATTACTGTTGTTCATCTCGCCCATAGCTTTGACACAGACCAGCTACTTGATCACACAACATTAAGGATGATCTTTTTTCGATTTCCAAAAAATAACTGTCATGTGTCACGAGGATGTCCCCGCGAAGGCAATAAGGCAGAATTCTTGGCATTTTCATGCCAACACCAGATCATTGCTCAATTTTCACGTTGATGGGGACGCTAGTGATAACGAGCAATGCGATGATCTACCACTCCTGTTTGAGTGCTCCTTGAGCGGGCTCGCCTGTTTAATTCCACGGCAAGCTAGATTCTGACGGGCAGCACCTAATCAACAGTAACATTAATCAAAGTCAAATAATCAGAGTCAAATGAACTCTGTTCCTCTGAATCGCACCTGGATTCAGTTTCATTCGAAAACAATCGCTTAGCGCTCGCGACGATGGCTTCATGTATGACCGTGTGCATATTCGTTAAACACAGCTGGTGGAATGAGGTAAAGGTAGTAAGCATTTCTAGATTCATCTCTAAACTCGTCACTTGGCCTTGACAGAGCTTAGGACTATCTGGCCGCCCAGGAGTTCTTTAGCATTTAACGTACCTCATCGAGCGTAGGTCGACGCCGAGAACACCAGAGTCGCAAGCGACGGCCACAGTGCACGCCTTCCGATGTGGCGACCAGCGAACTGCGTTCACCGGCGAGGAGAGATTGACTGCTGAGCCACTGTCAGCAGCCGTTGGAGTGACGGGCACGGCGTCAGTAAGGCTTTCCTCGGCCAGGCTGATGTAGTTGTCGACGGCTGGAATGCCCAGCTGAATTGTGGACTCTAGGATGTACTCGCCAGTGCCCAGGTTGCCCGTGGGTGCTCGAAGGATGCCCAGGAAGCTAGCACTGGGGGAAGTTTTGCAGTTCGGAGTGGAACTAGCACAGGACGGGGAGGGGGTAGTTAAAGAAATTATTTTCATTGGTTAAGATCTGGGCATAAATACAACCAGGAGAACAAGTTTGCAGTTCAACCGTCGTGACCGACGATGTCTACAAGATGAGAGCAGGCACGGCGGACAAGGTAGTACGAGCCAATTAGCTTGGCGGTAACTATAATCCTAAACAAACTCAAATGCCTTCAAATGCAGTAAGTAGCGTATCTCGTTGAGCATTAACCGAAATTTCAACATGTGATCTGGGCTAGAATGGACTACTTAGGTGGAGTTGTAATATTGATTATCATCTCAAGATATTTCTGTCAGGCCATGATGTCGATTTTTGAATGTGTGTCTTCCCTGTCGCTAGCAGAAATCGTCCTTGGACTTTTGATGTCTTTAAAAGTTCAGGCATATTTCATAGAAAGTATGACTCGTACTAATTTCGCAAAAAATGGCATCTTACAATTGTCTGCTCGACGAAATTGCGTCTTAACAGGCGGGCAGCTACGGTGCTACTTAAATATGCAGTTCGCGGCCTTAAAAATCCCATAAATACAAAGGTTTTGAAACCAGAAAATACCTCAATTTCGTGTAGGAAATCTAGAGGAAACATAACTCAATCAAAAATGAAAACATGGAAGGATGTTTATGCTCTCTTTCTGCAAAGTATGTTTTGATCTATAGGGACATCGGAAATAAATTTGGAAAACCATGCCACCTAAGTAGTCCTTCCTAGCGAGAGCAATTTTTGCAAGCGGCCCATTCAAAAGCCGGCACGCTGGTCTGATTGAAACACCTTGGGATTATGCACTAAAACCCCAACTAAGTGATCCTTTCTAACTGAAACCGCATTTTAGGATTCCAATGTTTTACGAGTTACCCAAAACTTCGGTAAATATTTCTGAGCAATAACCCATTTTGAGGGTTTAGATAAACACAGTACTGACACTAATTTTTTTAGCAGTCGATTGAGAATACTGACATCCGCAAAGTATTCACCAATACTTCAGGGACATTTTTGAAGGTCAACGACTCCATCACCACAAAAATCTACACGGTAATTGTACTGGAAAAAGTCCCTCTGATATGTTGAAGACGGTGCGCTTACGATCTTATCTGCTAATTCCATTCTAACTTCTTAGCCACTGATCGGCCTCTCAAAAAGGGACCTTATAAAAACTTCCATTGCTGTGCCGTCAGTGGCAAACGAAATCCTTCTTGCATTAGTCAACAGCATCGAAAATAATAATAATAATTTTTATTAAAGATCCGTCGGGATCCCATCAAAGCATAAACAACCGTTACTTAAAGATTCCTAGCAGTATCAAAACAGTAATAGACTGTTGGTGTAGAACATCAAGGCGACAGCGGTCAGATGGCAGTGTTGTGTACTGCAATACTTTTTATCGGAAAAACTGCGGCAAATTTTAATGAAACCGTTTGGGAACCTACACTAAAACTGTGGGCGGTTGGCTAGCCGTTGCATTTTATTTTACACTAATTCCTGAAGATTGTGCAGATGCAGATCGCCAAAAGGATGGTCCTTTTGAAAGTTGTTATACTTGCGCTGTTTCACTCACTCAGTTATTTGCACGGACGGTCTTTATACACTTCTAAAACTTCAGTTTACCCAGTTGACGTAAATTTTTCATGTCTTCGACATTTGCACTTTTCGTAAGGAAACTGTGATTTCTAAACAACGTAATATTACTTCAAATATTTCTTTTTCAGGCTTTCATTTAACCGAAAATAGATCATTATCGAATGAGAATGTTGGTCCGTATATTTGGGTCAACTTCTGAGTGATTAGGGCACCCTGTAAATTTAGGTGCTGTACGTATTGGCAAGGGTGGTGGTTAGTTCGAAGGCCTCGCTAAGGTCTTTCGAACCTTTTGTGCGGCCGAACTTGGAGTTTACCATTCAAGCATGAAGATCATGGATCATGCATGGATCATGGACCCTATCATACTTGAAAATGTTCAACGGTATGCAGCCAAGCTTGTAACTGGGCAGAGCTCACTACCCTACGAAATAGGAGTAGCTAATGTATATGTATATGTTGAAGGGTTACAGGCAGAGCCCTTGATATCGATGACTTTCCTTTGTGTTAAAGGCAGCTACAGGACGATCTCATCCAGACTTTCCACACCATGCCCACGCAGGATTGCTGTCTCGTACCTTGAGACTTCTTTGAGTTAGCAACTACGACTAACCTGCGAGGTCACCCATCCAAACTACGTGTGGCTGGTACCGAGCTGGACACACAGAAGTTCTCCTCCAACAGAGTGGTCAAAGCTTGGAATGCTTGACCTAAGGATGTTGTTAAGTTTGCATCCATGGAAGTTTTAAAGGGAAGCCGGATCAGTATTGCAGTACACAACACGGCCATCTGACAGCTGTCGCCTTGGTGTTCTGCACTAACAGTACATTACTGTTTTGATACTACTAGGAAACGTTAAGTAACGCTTGTTTATGGAATTTACTAACGCATAAATACCGGCGCACATCACTACTGACATTCACAGTGACGCTCGCAGACCACAGATCATATTTCTTTCCCTGTGGCATAGGTGTGAAGCAAGCAATTACTGTATTACGCACTTACGTGTGTACGTGTGTCCTCCAATTCTGCAGCGCACGAAACACTTAGCCTATCTACACAGTGACTGATGTTACCCCTTTTCCGAATTTTTGACACACTTCCGCTGCGTGTAACAAATAGGGAGTCCAAAGGTGCACACCCACGTTTTCCCAAATAAACTGGACTGAATTGACGTACCCTTTAAAAGGCCATATGGCGAATGGCCATATAATTTGGGACAGCTATTCTCTAACAATAATCATAGATGATAGTCTAACCACAACGAGCGACGAAGTCCACCGCGTGCCGCACATAGTGGGCGCATCACGCGAATTAGTTAAGAGTGATTCAGACTTGCATAGCATCTACCGCACTCTTTCCTCCATTACCCACGAGGTCCTGATGGCAAGATTACAATGAATGACCGATCTCACGGTTGAAAATTCTGAAACGTGTTTTCGATTAGGAAGGATTACTTAGGAGGGATTGTAATACTGATTATCATGCTGCACAATCCTATAATGTTTCGGACTCGCCTGGATGTCGGCTTTTAAATATACTTCTTTTTGACCTCCTGTAAAAACCGCACATGGCAGGAAATGACTACTTATGTGACATGTATGTTCTCACATTGATTTTCGAGGGTCTTATAAACGCAAATATATTTTATAGAAAACATGTGCAAAAATATACTTTCTTTTACTCGTTTGACGGAGAATCCCGTTATCTCTACATTTTATACTCAACGATGGGGTATATTTAGGTTTTAAAGGAGTTTCTAGTTATGAGATTTTTTAAGACCGTACAATGTTCATTCATACGGCATCGTATCTGTCCGTCTGCCAATGCTGCTCATGAAGTCTACAGCACTGACCGCATCCATTGCAAAATCTTATGAACTCTATATGATATCTTTTTAAACGCATAGAGGAATATATGATTTTCCTAACGCTTAAAGGATGCACCTTGGAGACTGAAATCGCAATACGCTAATGCAACGGCTGATTAGGCTCAAAATTATTCGGGAATTAGAAAACATTTTTAAAACCCAAATATACCCCATCTTCGGGTATAAAATATAAAGATAACGTGATTCTCTACCAAACGAGTAAAAGAAAGCATATTTTGTGCACGATTTCTATAAAATATGTTTGAGTTTATAAGACCATCGAAAATCAATGTGAAAAAATACATGCTACATAAGCAGTCATTTCTTGACAAATGTAGTTTGTACACAGGAGTGTAAAAAAAGTACATTCAAAAGCCGACATCCTGGCGAGTCGGAAACACTATAGGATTATGCCGCATGATAATCAATGTCATAACCCCACCTAACTAATCCTTCCTAATCGAAAACACATTTCTCAGTTTCGGCCAACATTTCATGTGATCGGTTACTCACTGTAAGTTAGAACGATCGAAGGTGCATTGGGCGCAGTGGCTGACAGGGCAGACAGACACGACCCGGTGTCCGCAAAATGTGTTAGTTTTTCACAGAAAGAGGGCTCGGATCTCATGGAGGCCACAGTAAGATGCGACCATTGCGCCTGATCCCCAGCCCTCGAGTCAGTCCCCCCAAGAATCCTCATTGCATGGCATTACATTAAACAATTTTGCAGTAAAACCTTGATTTTGAATGTTTACTCGAAAAAATCAGGTGATCCTGTGGTAGTGGGACAGACTGCATAAGGTCGGAACGACGAACGCTACCCTCGACTGACATTACAGATTCCCGACATCATCGAGCAGTGTTAGCAGTACAGCCTCACATCCACTCACACAACCTGGCAGTAACTCATACGTGTTTATACTACTCGTAATTAGTAAGTAACGGTTAATTATAACTCTTTTTCGGATAGCTATCAGCTGTCCGCGATTATGTACAAAATCCTTTTTTTAACCTTCCCACTTATCAATGCTTTTCTCCGACGACTTGTAACCAATAGGGAGTTCAAAGGCGTTCGCCTATATTTCCCTTAATAAACTGAAACTGAAAGAAGGAGAGGGCAGGAAGACAAACTAAGGACTACTTCGAATCCCAAACCTGGTAGAGTGGGGCATTCCAACTTCCCAGAAGTGTACGGAAAGTCAAAAAGGGCGTCTCCAAAATGAACGTACGCTGAATGGAGTTCACGGCAAGAACACAGACAGGTGAAAGTAGCCAGACGTTAGAGTTGAGGACATACCTCAGGCGTCCAGGTATCGGGGGCCCAAGAATGCAAGCCAAGTCTGCGCTTGTTTCGGACGGGCTAGCAGTCAGTCTAATAAGAGAAAGGATAGTAAAATGAGACATTTTCACCATCGTAATAGGCATCTTTCCCCTCCTCAGCATAGTCGTCGTTACGGCCACAGCAACATCAAAGCTAGCCGAAACCTGACAAGGAAACTCAGAGTTTCAGACAAAAACTTGTCAAAGTCAGTTCCCTTGGAGGGGAGGGCGGGCGTGGCCTCTTGGTTTGGATGAGGAGGAGGAGGGAAAGAGGAGGAGAGGGGGGACCAATAAAACGGCACCCTAACAGGAATCGCTCTATCTTTCGTTCATCGCATCTCCAACGAACGACTAGGAAGTCGCAGCTTGAAATAGTCCGAAGACTAGGGCAAAATCATCCTGACGTCGCCTCGTCCGAGCCCGGCCAAATATAGACATGAGTGGATGTTGTAGAAACTGAGTCTCCCGGGCTCTGCGGACTTCGCGTCTGGCCTGTCAGCTGACCTATCTTCGAGCGCGGGTACGTCAGTAGCCAGCTCCAGATGCCAATAGACACTCATTTGAGGCTCTTGCAGCCTATGTTTCGGCAATATTGTTCTACCTTTTTTTCAGTTATAAGGCAAACTGGCACAGACAGCATTGACGTTAGTCAAACCGCGTGATGGAAGAGAGTGAGATATATAGTGACGAACAACCAGTCAGTGCTTGGTCACCGGCACCACGGTCTAGCTTATAAAAACTGATTAATCTGTTTATTGATTTGGGTACTCTGAGCGGACTGGGAGAGATTTTCCTTGCAGACCGGTTGAAAATGAGGGATGAGCTCGAAATCCATGTTGAACACTATGGCTTCCAGCCATCCGTAGCCCTCCCCCCCCCACTCCCCACCAAAAAAAGATAACTGAACCATCTTTTGAAGTTAGGACGTGGTGACCCGACTTATAATGTAGTCGTTAAAGAAAAGGGATGAGCTCGTTTGAGTGTGCCGGTTTCGTACCAAGTCTTTCAGTGTGGATAGTGTCATCTGGCAGGCGGAACTGACAAAATTTTTGGTGGTAAACTAAGACCTTGTACCCTCGCATTTTAATATTCTACGGAACAGACGATGTCGCATGAATTCCCAGAGACCAATCTTCGCGGGACATGGCTTGCCCAGGTCGAGAGACAAGGCAGTAGCGGCCGTTTCACTCAGTAGCTGCATAGAAGTTCGGGATCGTTTCTTAAAACTACTCTTTTCTGTTCCCTTCAGCTGGTGTGCGGGCGACGTTTGGCAATGCCATGGTCTATGATGCAGTGCATCCCAGGGGCTGGTACGCACCAGCACTAGCTCTGGTCGATGTAAGCACAAGTAGTAGTAGAAGAACGTGAACTATCGACTACTGCCCGAGAGCTCTGATAGGCAGCAAGAAGGCCCAGATTCCAAGAGGCCTTTACAACGCCTAATGGCATGACTACAACCTACGCCTGGCACTCAGAAGCCGCTGTGTCCGCAGACTGTTAACGTACAAGTGCCAAATGTCCAGCGTACATGTGTAAACCGCTGAGGATGTTGGCAAGCAGGAAGTAAATCCGGTTAGATTCCGACATCCAAATTCATAAAAGTCTTGAAGCGAAAGTATAAACCGGTATTGCATCAAATGATCTCTGCCTACCTCCTCACTACTGAATAATCGCTGAGGGGCAGATCGCACACACGCTCCAACTGGCCTGCTTCCGTGTGACCCAGACCGGCACTTGGTTTTTCCGCAGACGCCGAAGGCACACGCCAAATACGGGCTCCTGTGATGCATTCGGTCTTGGACGGAGAGACTGTGTGAAGTGCAAAACAACAATTTAAATCAAAATACAACAGCTACTGAAATTGCACAAGTAAGAGGTAAAGTGTCGCTTACTGGAGGAGTAGATTGAGGCAAAAATGTGAGGCGCCGCGGGGAAGGCAGCGAGAGCGAGCACTTCGCCGTCTGCGTGAATGAACGACTGGCTAGACAAAAAAGCACTCTGGGATGAATTATGCTCTTCCAGTGTGACCAGATGAACCTGTGTCGAGGGTAGAGGTAAATGGGAGACGACTTAACAAACAGCAAGGAAGGGCGAGCGCAAACGAGCGACATATCAACTAATTATTCCTAATAACGAAAATAGAGTAAGTTGATATCAAAGGAGGACAAACCGACCCGACTGCCGTTAGGTCGAACTGACTGGCATCCCACAAGGAACCGGGCCTTCTCTATCTCGTCGAAAGCAGCGCCCTTGAAACTCTCGACATTATCGTCCCCGTCGTTGTCATCTTCAGTGACCACATAATCATCCAGATTCACAGAGGCATCTCGCTTCTCGGGATCCGCAGCATCGGCTGTTCCGTACAAACCAATGAGAAACCGAGCTTGTGGCTGAAGATGATAAGAGAATCCGACTTATCGGCTGAACTCATAGTAGGTATGCATTCAAATAGAAAGCGACAGTCAAAAAGGCTGTAATATCGCTAAGTCTGGATCAAAGTCCGAAGCTAATACGTAGGTGACGGCATGTCGAGAACAAACGAAACAGGCTTCACAAAGATAACGGGTCTTTTCACTGACTTTCGTTGATTTCATGAATTCAGCCGTGTTTCCTCGGAAGAATGCCCAAAATTGTCCCCATGCACATGTTCTAGGAAATCGCGTCCTACTTAAACTCAGTAATCGAAAGTATATAATGTCTAAACATCAAAAATTCACTTATTTCTGCTTTCGTTGAGGGAAGGGCCGGCGCTTACAATCCCTACGGTTTGCGAGTAACGAAGAGACAAAGAAGAGGCACTGACACCCGAATGAATGTTGCCTTCAGGGTTTTTGCAAGCCACCAAACGTGTCGTGGGTTCAGCGCAACATCCCAATCGTCCCAGTGATCGAGGCACTGGTAAATAGGGATTTTTAAACCCGACATATTCAACTCCTTTAGGCACTACATCCCTAGAAATCGTAAGTTCCCATAGAAGAAGAGGATATGAGGTATTTTTCGTCCCCTCCAAGAAGTATGAGCGTTAGAAGTCAGCGGAGAAATATACTTCACAGACGCATTGGGTTTTGGGTAGTCGACGTCGGTTGTCGGAAGGATTTCCAGTCAAAGGCCAAGATACACCCGTGTACTTAGGCCGTATTCCCCCCCACGATGAGTCTCCCTTTGGTATTATTCGGTCTGAGAAAACCCGCTGGATATCTAAAAAACCGTGGTTTTGAGACTTGGAGACGTTCGATTGAGCATAAAAGTGGTCCATAGCTCAGCTGCACTATCCAGCTACATGAACAAAAACACGAAACTGTCCTCTTTATTGGTAACTGTTGAGCTGAATGTCCAATGCCGCCTAGCGATTTGTAGGCAGTGCGTGAGTCTCACACGCAACTGATCGGTGGACGACAACTGAAGCAGTAGTGTTTTTTACGGCGGAAAAACATTTAATTTGAGAATTTTCAGTCGTTGCCTCTCAAGAAATGCAATTACTTTATCGGCGCAACGCCAGCACAGGCTTTCTATTTGCATTGACTTTCAGAAAAATGTACTTCCAAACTCAACGACCATGAGAAATTGACTGCTGAAGGACCCGAGAAGAAAATGCGATTAGAATATAGAGTGAGCTCGGCAAAGGTAGACTCCTAGGCCACATCAGGCATAAAGATGACCTCTGTTTACAATGACTCACTTGAAGCACGAGGCTGTGTGCAGCTTCTTGTAGAGAGTACACCATCGATGAGAATCAGGCCGCTATCCAATTAGATGAGAGCGATAAACCCTGAAAAACATAGTACGACAAATATGACTATTTACACATAGATAGGCAGGCAAGTTGATAACTACATATATATATGTACATATGGAGTTCATATACCGGAAACCGCTACAGAACGCTGGGGGTCCCACTGAAGAGCCGAACCCCTCGCAGCTGTGTCACGCAGCGGCAGAATATCGGCGAAACACGTGTCTGGGCTTTTAGCAAGTATCTAGGTCGGGAGTACGGTATAATACCTTTACCATATGTACATATATATACGTATATATACATGGTAGGGGACGCTCACCGATCGTTCTTACGGAACTCACTCGTTCCTTTGTGTCTTACGGACTTTCTCTCGAGCCCAACCAGCAGCCGCACAGCGGCGCATGATATAGACAGTATATTATTACCGACAAAGACAAGGGAGAATAGCATTGTTGACAAATACAAGGGAGACCGGAACGGCCATTTCTGGCCTATTAACCGTCACCAGCCAGTCATACCCAATCCTAGGTGCGGATCACCTGAGATTCGAACCTGGGGTCTATGATCATTGACTAAGATACTATAGCATTGAGCCATGGGCCTGTTGGCTTGTCGGCTGTGGTCGGGAATGTTGATTATGGTAGAGGGAGCGTTGGCCAATCAGTTTACGGGACGTGCTCGTTCCGTTGTGCCTTGGGGCTCAAACCAGAACCCTCGTAGACAGTACGTTTGATGTTCAGCCCCATCCCACCTGCACTGCCTATCGACACCATTGAGGGCTTTCTCTGGGAAAAATATGATAAGACTGACCAACAGCTCGGACCTAGGCTCAGCATCGAGCTCCAATAACCGTCTTAATGCTTCTTCGTACTCGACAACTAAATCTACGACCAAAAGGAAGGGGACGCTGATGGCTCACCTCCGTCTGGACTAATTGCCGATGCGGTTTTGGAGAGACTCGATCAGCTGACATGCAGCTCGTACTCTCCGAAGTTCTGAGCAAGACACGTCAACGACACATTCGTCATAATCAAGGGGAGCGATGTGCAGGCTTTCAAGATATTGTTAAATTCAATCTTCCCCAACATCTAGTTTACCATGAACAAAGATGCCAAAAATCAGTTGTCCTTCCTTGGCATAAAGTTACAAAATGGCAGACGGGAAGATAAAGACAACGGTCTACCTTGCGGCGACTAACATTCAGCGCATTTCCCACTACAGAAGCGACCACCCTGTTTGTCAAACGTAGTTGTGCTAGAACTCTATTTCAGCCAGTTCAAACATTGTAGCGACGACAATGAGAGTAAGGAGGAGGTGAAGTACCTAAATGTCCTATTTGGGGACAATGGTTATACGGAGTCCATCATACACAAGTGTCTTGGGAAACCCCCCGTGAGTGGCCAAGCGAGGAACGCTGGAGTTCTGGCTTGCAGTTCCCAATGTGAGGGATATTTCAGGGGCGGTGTTAAGAATCCAGAAAACACCTTGAATTGGTGTGGCTTATAGGTCAGAGTTAACAATAAGACGGCAAATCGCGGGCCGAAAAAACCCGCTAGCAGTTGCAGAACAGCGGTGGTACACGGCATGCCATGTCAAAACTGTGATATGAGGTATGTCGGTAAAACGGGCAAACGCCTTGCCACAAGACTGCATGAACACCGGTGGTCTGCGGTCTATGACCACGTACAGCAGCAGAACCACAGTTTCGTCCTTGAGAAAGCGAGGGTGATCAGCAGGACCAATTATAAGGTGGCCAGACTGACGGTCGGAAATTGGTCTTTGATTGGCACACTTCACTGGATTATAGACCAACGCCTCGCCTATCAGGCTCGACTCAGTTCGGACAATGCCAATAGCACAGGCGACAAAAATCATCCAAGAACGGCAGCCGACGTCCACAAAAAAGGGGAAGCGCTAACTGGAATTCACGTGGCCGACGTAGCAAACAGTCTATCTGACGCGTCCACTGGACCGAAAGCACTATGCATAAGCAGCGACGACTAAGTCCACAAAAAGACGAGGGGAGGAGCAACAGGCACGCCGCCTTAGCCGCAACTACGACAATCGCAAGTCCCGCGAGCCCGCCAATGGTCGACCTCGGAGAGGTCAAAACCAGCCGAAACCAAAATGACAGACCAAGACAGCAAGGCGAGATAAGTCCAGGCCAGGATGAAGAATCACCACAATGCTCTGATGAAGCTCCCGAAACCCCAGTGTGAATATAATCTAGATCATTAAATCACCTCGTCTCCTTCGTCTTAAAGGGGATGATAAGCAGGATACGCATAAGCATGCACGGCTTATTCAAACAAAGGGTTGGGTTTAGGCACTTGTGCATGTGTACGGCACAACTCTGACTATTCCCGATCTAGTCGGCCTCAACGTCACGGATTGTACCTCTCCACGCGTGACGATATGCGGCAGGGAATTTGGACATCTCGGTCCATTTTCTTCCACATCGACGGAGACCGAAAACCAAAGGTTCCAGAACAACTCCCATGTCTTGACGAACTGTGTCGAATCAAGTTTTGAGTTGGCCACCTCTTCGACGCCTCTAGGTTGTCAGCGGCGTCGGAATGAGACCAGTAACACTGACCTTGTGAGGTGGATGACGAAGAACTTACTCAAATCGCCCCAGCCGACTTTTTGCATGGCCTCAGACAGTATTGCGATGTTGTCGCAGCAGGTGTCGACAGTTTCATTTGATACAAAGTCGGCAGACTTCACTTCACGCAGCAGAGTCCAAATACCTTTATTATCGCTTATCTTCCACGCGCACAACCTAGCATGGATAGTTGTATAGGAGGACTGACCGGACGGATGGATGGTACAGGCGGATGTTATGACGATGCAGATGTCGCGTCGGGTCCATGGACACTTTCTAGGAATTGAGAAAACCCTGGGAGTAGTATCGATTAGGGAGACAATGTCGCTCTTCGCCTGTGCATTAGGCCTCGGTCTCACCCCGCGGCATTTAAAACAGCCAAGTTCTTCAATTTGATGCCCATGAATTTCGAGAGGTGCCTTCTCCAGATCAGGGATGCAGTTCAAAAACGCTTTCAGTTCCCCAGTTCTTATGGATAAACTGACTGCATTAGTTCACGCGTGACACCCCAGATTGTAGATCACCAACGCATGAGGTAAGCAAGAGATATCATCAGCGTAGTGGAGGTACGGGTGCAAACTCGACACCATTAAAACTGTGCAGGGCTCTTCTGTCAATCCAGTAAATTGCGTAGTCGAACAGAATGAGCGACAGGATACGACCACCTTGAAAGCAGGATCAAATATCGAAGAGTTTAGACAGATTGTTATAGGTCAGAACTCGCACAAAGGTGCAGCAATAGTAGGCCTCTATCATGGCCATTATTTTGCCGGCACACCGTCCAGTTCTATTCACGATATACGGAATCGGAGGCTGCGGCGAAACAAATAGCCGTCGTTTGTTGGTGGCAATGTCAGAATTCCAGAATGTGTCTCAATGTAAATATCTGGTTAGTGTATCTACGCCAAATTCGGGATTCGGGTTGACTGAGCCTTGTCCCAGAGTCCCGCACAGCCTGGAAGCAGTAGCGAATAGCAATCGCGAAGAGCTTCACAGCACGGTCGATGAGGCTTATGCCGTGATAGTTCTCTTACATTGTCTTTTCTGAAGACAGGCCAAGAAGCCCCCAGCCCCGGTTGTCCCTGCTCTCACCATACTGTGGAGCACGCGATGGACATCGCCAGGAACGACTTTCAAATTGCCGGGTACTCGAACATTTTTGAACTGCGCAGCAGCTGAGCACACCAAGTCAATTGATACCTCCATTGACGTACCTCGTCCAGTATGGACATCCGCATTGGCACGGTGGGTCGGACTTGTGAGTGTTGCCAGTTTTGGCACCAAATATCGATTCGCTATCGTTAACACAGTTACGAGAATTGAACTAACTAGAACACGCTCAGTCTTGCTGGCCATACGAACATCGCTTGAGTACCAGATTAGAGGATGCTTTTGGCGGTCCTGGACGAGTGTTTGAAGAGTCGCCGCGTCTATTTAGGTTACTCCGGTTCCTGGACATAATAGGCAGATCACGGCGGGGTAGTATTTCAACTAACTCTTGGGGAGGTTTCCTTATGGCCCTGATCCGCAGTTGGTGTTTGTGGGTGCAAGTGGTGTTTGTGAAGTAACGTTGCAGTCGGTTATTGACTGGTACCCACAAAAGTGGTGAATTGTTTGCTTGTTGTGAATGGGTGATCGCCACACAGCGTTCAGTAGAATAGTCGCTATGGCATAGAATGGAGGGTTGACCCCAGGGAACTGGATTTACTGAGTGTATGAGTTGGCAATTGGGACATTAAATAAGTAACAGACATCCACATTATACTAATTAGTAGTTGCGTCGTCAGATACTGAGTACTACGGCCTAGATACGTCCGCATTCCAGTATCTAATACCAAGATTTCATCCTCGACTGAGTAGTCCAGATGGCATTTTATTCGCCCATACCGTTGGATGAGGGGTGCTGAGTGCATAGGTTCCAGAATACGCCATAGCAAACATGGAACTACTTAGATTGGACACTTTTGTGAGGTTTCTTGAGATTTGTGAGTGCATGAGGCCCCAACAGCCGTCCAAATTGTGTTTCGAGGTTATCTCCTGCAGGGGTTTTGCTCAAGTGCCCAGCCAAAAAGCAGTAGTGACAAGCATACATGTTAAATGGCGGTCCATGGCCACCATATCACAGTGCTGCATCGAGTTTTGGGACGTTTTATAAGGCAGCCGGTATGCTAGACATCAGTCCTCTGCATCCTTGTATCCCTGTCGCCACTGATCCGCGACTGCTTATTTCCCAGACTCGACAGTCTGTTAATTTCACAGCCAACTTCTACTGAAGTCTGCTCTGCTATCGTCGCTGTCGATGCTCCGTGTCGTTAGGCTGATAGGGAATCCGTCCTTCCGGTTCTCAACGGCCAGATTACATACCTTGCGAAAGCTCAATCAG